GTATTTTTTATTACTAACAATTCAATATTTTACACTGTGTTATTTTAATTTTATTATAGCATAGCAGTTCCAATAAACATTTATCACGGCCATGGTGGTTTTGGATATCCAGATACTTTGAAGGAAATATCAATGGTCCAATACCTACCTCGTCAATATGATTGGTCTTTACCATGGCCTCGACGATTCCACAGCCGTCAAATATCCAAATCGAGATAAGGTTGAGAATTTTGTCCAAAAAAAAATCTATATTATACGGGTATTCGGTAGAAATATTGATTTTCAGTTAGTGTCAGTAGGTTTATTTATTGGTCCTATAATAATGTTACGTACAGCCGTGATGATGCCGTGGTCGTTACCTCAAATGCATCTGTTAAATAAGTTTTTATAAACTGCCATTTAGTTACATTTTTGTATTTAATCATTTCTAATGCTCTACCCGTTAAACGTGTGGTAATATATTTTACTAATGTTGGTGAACTGTCTGTGTCGACTAAGCTTACTGCCATATCGCATGCATTTATGAATTGATAGATATCGTCTATTCCTGTGCATAGTGGAATTAATTTAAAAGCGTCCTCTAATTTTATGCCTACAATTTTTTGAGTGCGTGTTTTAGTTATAAAATTTAATGACTGATGTTCAAAACTATTTGTAACTTGGCTACGTGTGATAACTCCTGGACTTGGGATTTTACTTGCTCTATCTCCTAACTGAGTTTCTACTATATGTAATTTTGTACAAAGTTGAACTTAAAATGACTATAAAAATAAACTGTGCTTATGTATTTTTAAATTTTTTTTAACAGAATAAAATTACTTACGTGGAATCTTGTTTTAAATTTTCAATCCTTAGATATAAAAGTTGAACATTTTATACATTTTTAACTACAAAATAATTATTCAATTTTAAATTTGATACATTTTGTCAAAATTCGATCTTTAAATGCTTATAAAAAAAAATTGTGAATATGTATTTTTAATATTTTTCAACTGATATTGTAACAAATAACAATAGGTACATCAAGAGCCTTGTATTAAATTTGATTAATTTCGCCAGTTAATATCGCTAGGTATATTTTGTACATGGAAATTATTTACCTTTAATTAAACTCAGTAATCGAATTCGAGAATCTTATAGCAATTACGATTTCTGTGCAGTATTTTTTTATTTTTTTATTTTTTTTGACTTGTGTTTTTGAATTAAAAATTTTGAAACTCGAAAAATAACTCATCTAAAGTACTTTCAGGTTTAATTTGTTTACTGAAAATAATATACATATTATATATGGTTTGATCGAAAAAATAATTTTAATAGATATTTATATTTAAGATAAAAAAATATATGAAAAATAGTTGTACATTAGAGTAAACCTAACGTTATTCGCTTTTATTTAAAATCTGACGATAATTTAATTTATTAATGCTTTACTCAGTATAAAACATTTATAAAAAATTTACGATTAGGTATTAATTATTACATATTTCTACAGTTTAAATACCTAACAAAAAATTCCTTGAGATAATATGTCTTAGTACCCTTCCAACATTTCCACCGGCATACTATTTGTATAAGATGAGCAATGTCTATTCTACAAAACAAGTAAGCTGTTTATTTGATAATTTTTTCTCTGTTGAAATTTCCAAACATGATTCTATGTAGGTATTTATTGTCATGCCTCCACAAAACGCTCTGGTAATAGCACCTAAAAATGCCAACGAAAAATCACATACTGTTTCTTGAGGCGCAGATACACCATCCTTCATCCACAGCATTAACCACGAAAATATATTAAATTTGTCTTGTTTTTCGCTTAGCATTTGTGTCACCGAGGTTTGATATGCATTAGAAGAAACGACCGCTTCATACAAAAAAACATGGCTCGATAGTATGCCTTCTTTTGTACGCTTAACTTATGTAAGACAGTTCGTGCCAGCCTGCTGGTATCAGCTATAGTGGAGTGCATAGCTGTTAATTTATTAGAACCTGTAGAAAAACACTAATAATGTGTTATTTTGTATGAATATTGAATAGTGTTTAATTTTTGAATTGCATTTATTAAAAATAATTCCTTAAACCACATTTGCTTTTAATACTCCAAATAGTAGTAAAATGGCTTCTGTTGGCCGCTAGTTGCTACTTGTTGCTAATATGCTTTTATTAAAAGCATTCTAATACATTAAACTGCTAGCTATTTGAAAATTACAATATAAATTAGTTGATATGAGTATTTTTTTATTAGAATTATAAAAGGGAAGGAGATAATATCAACATACTTAAATACTTTAAACGGCATGGTTATTGTTTAGATATTAATGTTAAATTTGGCCTGGTTAAATGTTAAAATTGACTTGCCTAAAATCTTCCACACCCGGTGGTGATAAAATATTTACGGCCCGTTTTGCGGTGATAACAGACCAGTAGGTATCTACATTTTTTATACGAATGACAGGTTGTGAAAACAATTACTAAATAATTAATGTACCAATTTATAGTAAGCTAATAGTACCATAAACATGATTTAGTGACTCATTAAAACCATCAATTCATAGGGGGAATTACGTTATGTTGCTTAAGTAAGCGTTCGGTGGCTATCCAGATACTTTAGTCGTAAGGGTTTATTTTTCCAAGGTAGGCACGATATGATTTGTATCTAAGATTTAATTACCGTCAGTGATCCAAAAGATGATTATTTGAATGAGTCGTAGTAAATTTGATCAGAAAAAATAAAATAGTGATTTATTTTAATAATAAATTGTACAATAGTCTTCCCAGAGTGTGTATATCTTTAGTGGCTTTGGGGGACATATTCATCTGGATATGCCATGTTCCTAGCCCTCATAATATATATAATGTTGGCTCCTTTTGGAAATGGATGGCTTGTGTATTTTGAAGATGTCTTTGGGTGTGATCATTTGAAAGTGGTTGTTTTCGTAGGGATGTGTTGTTTAGCTGATTTCGATTCCAATGCTAATTTTGTTATGTTTGTCAAATTTTAGAAGGGCAACTGGCTTTTAATTTTAACACGTGCACCTGACTGTCAAAATGTTAAATAAGAATGGGATTATAGTTTTTACATTGTGTAAGGTCAATTATATTATATATTAATATTTTAGATTCTGAGTGGAACGATGAATGTACTGATTTTACAATAAAATGTGTTTTTTTAAAATTTTTTTTTTGTGTCTGTCATCACCTTTTATTACAGTAAAAGTGCTTGGATTTTCTTCAACACTATCTTTTCTGATAGGAAAGTGAATCTAGTTGGTACTTTAAAAATACTTGAAAATGTAATACAAGGCTAATAGTATATTGTTTCAAAGGCAGATGAAAAATATTAAAAATCCTTTGTCACAGTTTTTTGTTATAAACATTTAAAGTTCAAATATTGACAAAATACTTAAAAATGACGAGAATTTTGCAAATTAATTCGAGGTAGAAACTCATAAAAATTTTTCTTCTTAAATCTAAAATATGAAAATGTAATACATGATTCCTCATAAGTTTGTCTACCTTTATCAAAAACAAAAAATGTCTACAAGAAACGTAAATTAAATTTTTAAAAGCGTTTGAAATTCATAATTTTACAAAATTTGATATTCTTTCGATTTCTCATGTAACGATTTTCTCATTTTGTTGTAATTAAAAAACGAATGACTGTAGATAATTGAACATTTCACTGAATGTTTATTTTAGAAATTTCTATACACCATACAATTTTGAAAATATTTTGCCTCTTTTTGAGCTGTTTACGGACATTTTCAGTTTTGAATTTATTTGGTTTTTTTTTCCATAAATATCAATAAAATGTTATTTGTTGGGTAAAAAAGAGTGAAAAGTTAATGCAAAGCGCCCGGTATATTGTTACAATAGCAGTTGAAAAATATTAAAAATACATAGGCACATTTTTTTGTGGCTCTTGATTCTTTTGATAAATGGCCACGGCCACCCTTCTAAAAAGTCACTATATATACTACACTTTAAATAATATTTACATATATCATGATTTATATAAAATAATGTGTAACAATAATTTTAAACAATTTTTTTATAAAATATACTCAGTTACCTTATAAAAAATACATAGGATCTATAAAAATTTACATTTATTTTTTAGGTTCATATTAGTTGCTGTAATACATTATATATGTACTTAGATCATTTTACTACTTGATCTACGTGAGACGAGGATTCGATCAATTGGAGATACATGACTTCGAAAAAAATAAGAAACAAACGAATACAACAATAAATCCACATGCTATAATGTACATCAGACAACAGTTTAGTTAACAAAAGCAATTATCAACTAACTTTGCTTTGCTTTGGTTGGGAGCCAAGAAAGACTTAGCTGTGTTAGAAAGTGTCAGGCAATGCCTATAACTTATGTTTGAATTTCTGTGACTGATTGTCAGGGTGTGGTATACTTTATAATTTCGCAAAAATGATTGGCCTTGGTCGGCGTGTGTGGAATTGAGGAGCTGTTGATGTTCCAATATCACGGAAGTGGGCGAATGTTGATTGGGCATTTCTGTGGTGAAATACCCTAGCCGCTAGTTTTGCTTCATTTCGTAACGAGTTTAAGGGTGGGTTTAAGATTGCGTTGTTTTTGGTGAGGAAGTGGGCACCTGTGACAATCCGGATCGCCACGTTTTGAACTGCCTCTATCTTTGCCCAGTTAGATGTACAGATGAGAGGACCCCATGCCGAGGAGGCATAAAGTAGAATTGGTTTAATGTACAATTTATAAATTAAGAGTCTGGTTGGCAGTGGGATGAGTGATCTGCTGTTTAATATCGGGTATAGTGCCCCTCTGGCTTGCTTAGCCTTTCTGATGCAGGGCTTCACATGTTCGTGTAGTCGCAGGGCTTTATCTAGCGTGACGCCTAGGTGGTCTTGTTTTTCCAGTCAATTTGTTGGCCTAGTATTTCGATTTTACGCGCGGGTGCTTTTCGGCTATTACCGAAAAGTATGAATACAGTTTTTAGTGTGTTAAGTTTTCAACGCCATTTTTGAATCCAGTCGGTTGTTGTAGTGACATGGCGTTGAAGACGGATTATGGCGAAGTTTATCGACGTGTTACTGGAGTAAAACAAGGTGTCGTCTGCAAACAGTGAGGTAGTAACATGAGGTGAGGATGGGAGATCATAAATGTAGTGGATGTATAATAGGGGAGAAAGGCATGACCCCTGTGGAACTCCTGCTTTGATTGTTCGGCTGGTTGATTTGAGGTCGGAGATTTGGATTCTGAAGTTCCGATTCGATAGGAAGGATTTTATGATTTTTATCAGGGGTGTGGGGACGGTTGACATTGCGTGGAGCTTGTGGATTAGTCCGTCGTGCCACTCTCTATCAAACGCTTTCTCCATATCCAAGAATATTGCAGCCGTGTGTCTGTTATTGTTGGTGTTGATTACTAGGTCGTCGATCAGTTTCGTGAGTTGTGTAGTCGTCGAGTGTCCGTGTCTGAAAGCGTGTTGTTCTGTTCTTGGTTTGATATACTTGGTGAGATGTCTTAGGAGAATTTTTTCAAATACTTTTGACATCGTGACGAGAAGTGATATTGGCCTGTAGTTGTTTGGTAGGCTGTGGTTTTTATTAGGCTTGGGAATCATGACGGTCGTGGCAGTTTTCCAGGTGGTCGGAAAGTAGGAATGTCTGAGACAAACTGTAAATAAGTTGCTCAGTCTTACGATGGCAGGGGCTGGAAGGTGCTTTAGCGCAGCGTTTGTAATTTTGTCATGTCCAGGGGCTTTGGCGGATGGTAGATTTTTAATAATTTCGAATACTTCCTTAGGGGTAGTGAAAAGGTTTGACTTTGTGGAGTAACTGTTGAGTTCATTGATTGATTGATTGACCTCCAAAAGGTCGTTCCCTGGGTTGGCGGTGAACTGGTCTTTCATTGAATCGGCAAACAGTTCCAGTTTGGATTCAGTGTCATAGATTTTTTGACCGGAGTTTGACGTCAACGGAGCGGTAGCTGGCTTCTTGTGAAGTAGGCGCCGATTTAATTTGTAGAGTGATCGATCTTGGAAATTTAGTGTGGATGTGAAACGGTCCCATGCTAATTGAAGATGTTCTTTAAGGAGGTTTCGGACGTATGCTATTTGGGCATTTAGCATTGTCTTGACTGATGGATCTCTAGTTCGTTGCCAGTCTTTCCTTAGGATCCGTTTGGTGGCAATCTCAAGTAGGATATCTGGGGAGAGTGGCTCTCTGGTGTGAGGTTTGTTAATAAGGCAGGAGCTTTTTTCGGTTGATGACTGGATGAGTGTGGTAAATGAGTCAACCTCGTTGTCTATTTCTATTGGGTTTGATAATTTGGTCGTCAGTTTTGGAGATTTAAGCAATAGTTCATGCTCAAATTTTTTCCAGTTGATTCTTTTCCTGGCAGCCAGATGATTAATTGTAATAGGAGAGTCGCTTATAGTCATAACAATTGGGTTGTGATCTGAAGTTAATTCATTATGATTAGTAAGGACATATTCTCTGTGTGGGAGGTTTACAAGTGCTATATCCAGGATCTCTGGCCTGTTAAGTGAGTTGTAAGAGTGGTGTGTTAGGGAATCAGGTGCGCAAATGGAGTATGTGTTAGATGTTTCCATGTGTTGGTGGAGGATTCTGCCCGCTTGGTTTGTGGTGCGACAGTTCCAAGACTGATGTTTTGCGTTTAGGTCTCCAGCTGCTAGAAAGAGGCCATTTTGATTTGTTAGAAATTCCAGGTCGTTGGTAAGCAAGGGAGAGTTAGGACTTTTGTACATAGAGGTTATACGGACTTGGTCGTTTCCAAGTTTGATTGAGACTGTAGTAGACTCAAGGGAAGTCTTAATATTCTCTTGGTTGTGAATTATGTTTTTGTGTACAAGTATGTCAGTACCACCCGCTGGAGAGGATCTAGGTTTAGGTGGGCGGTCTTGACGATAGGTAAAATAGTTTGGAATCTTGAGTGTGGTTGATGGGTTTAATTTAGTTTCTTGGAGGAGAATGATGTGAATGTTTTTGAGACGAGCGAAGGTGAGTAGTTCATTGTTTTTATGCTTGATGCCATTACAGTTCCAAAAGAGAATATTAATGCTATTCATTTTTTGCTAAGAATTCTGATATGATTGACATGATGGTATTTATGATGGAATCTTTGGTGGAGGCGTCCCTACATTCTTGGGCTGCACCTAATAGTTTGTGAATTATAGACAGTACTTTGGTGGCCGTTATAGAGGGTTCAGTTACTGCTGGTTTTTGGCCGCTGGTGACTTCAGCGAATGATGGTTTTGAGTGGATGTGCGATGAAGTGTTGTCGAGATATGTAGGTGGTTCTGGCGGAGTTGGGCGATTATTGATTCTAAGTTTGTTTTCGCGGCTTCGAGGATTGCTGGACTGGGCTTCTTTTTGTTTCATGAGGTTTATATAGAAGGGGCATCCACGATAGTTAGCAGTGTGGGCGCCACCGCAGTTGCAGCAGTTGGGCGCGACTTCAGGGGGTTTAGTGCACGAGTTTGAAGCGTGGGTGTCGCCACACTTGACGCATCTTGAAGAGTGACCGCATTGGAGGGAGGAGTGGCCGAAGTTTTGGCATTTGTAGCATTGTGCTGGTCCAGATATTCTGTATGGCTCGTTATTGACGTTGATAACAAAAAAGTTTAGATATTTGGTATATATCTTTAGCTAGTTCGAGGTTTGCAAGAGTGACCATCCCGAGTAGCATTTGCTGTGCTCACACTGTGTTAAACATTAGTAATTAAAAGTGCAAAACACTGTTAAAATCCTGTTCAGAGCACAGTGTTTTTTCGATTTTGAATACCGATTTTTTACATGGGTAACACAGAGTGTTATTATTGTGCTCATATTGGTTTTATAACCGTGCTATGGTGAACATATATTCCTGATCGAACAGTGTTCTGTAGATGTCACAACAGTTAAATGTCGGGTTTTAAAACCGTTTTTGGACAGTGTCAACACGGTGTTATGATGGTTCAAAGTTGAGTTTTAAAATTGTTTTTATACGGTGTCCCGACAGTGTAAACACTGTGTTATGACGGTTCAATGTTCTGTTATATAACTGTTTTTATTTAGTGTCCCTGACCATGTTATAATTGTTTAATGTTCAAGATTATATTTAACAATTAACTTTACTGTGCTTCTGGGGTGAGCACCCCATATCCCACAAAAACATAAATTATCTTAAAATTATTCTATTTACAAACGAAAATAGAATACTGTGGGATAGATAGGTAAACCCCTCATAATATCATTTGCTGTTTTCACACTACCCTAAATATTTTTTATGTTTACTATTTTAACGAGTCAATATAAATTTTTTTTTATCCATGTATATATGCATATAGTCATGGTTTGAAACACTATAAATTAATATAAATAATCCATAAGATGAGGTGTAAACAATTTATATAATTAATTTAATAAAAATAGAAGTTAAACCAATTAATTAAATAATTATATTGTAAATACTATCTATTCAATTTAATTAAAAAAATTATAATTGTATATACATTTTGTATTTTTGTTCAATGTACTCATTAGATTTGTACAAAATACCACGTGAACTAGTATACTAACCTAACCATGCATGAGGGTAATAGCTAGGGTAACATCAATCACTAAAATAATTTTCTTTAGCTAAAGATAACATTTTATTGATCATAAACTGTAAAAATTGAAATATAGATTTATAGGAAAAATGTATGTGAAAATTTATTATTTATTGTATTTGATCTTCATGATTATTTTGTTTTTAATGTTTTATATAGTTGTCCACAGTTCGATTGAATTTGACTTCATCTTTTGGATCAGTACGGAAACTAGACAATGATTCTAAAACAAACAAATTTCAGATAAATTACCTACTCATAATATTGATTTGAATTTTTTATTTCTAGAAATATTTACCATAAATAACAGTACACAACTTTAAGTTGGTAAAACTTCGCTTAGTTTTTCCTCTGAAGCTGAAGAAAGCCAATACATTATAATTAAAACATTCATTTATTGCTGCTCGTGCTGCTGCGCTTATGGAATCCATACTCCCAATCTTCATGTAGAGGTATGATTTCTGTAAATTGGGAAATTAAAATTATACAATATAACTTGCTTATCTAGTATTATAGTATAGGTACATAAATTATTATTATAATATATTGGCTAAATATATTATATTATATATGTTTCATAGTTTAAAAAAATGTATTTATTGTATAATAGTAGGTACCTATATACAAATAATATTAATAGTTAATGCTCAACAATTCTTCCTGGTTATTAAGGCCATCAATATCATCTGATAGAATGGATTCAACTACATCTACCTCTTCAATACATTTTACAGGTAATAGAGTTATTAAGGCTGTTGGTAATACAGGTATAGGCAGAGCTAATGACCTCATCCTAGAATCAGCTTTCAGTATCAATTGTAGCTTTTGGTCCATGTTTTTCATTGCATTAACAATCTTCACGTTAGAGTTGCTTAACATGTGCAACTGAATCATCATTTGTTTATGAACTGCCTTTGATGCTTTTTCATTAATAGCTAATGTTGATTTGATTTCTAAAAGTTTTTGGCAACAGCAGTTTTCTGAAACACACAATATCTCAAATAAAATATACATTTCTAATTAAAAAATGTTAAAAATGTTACAAACCATTTTTGCTAATGAAATTTGACAAATCTATCAAACCAGCATCAGTAGTATTTGTATTGTTTGTTCCTATATAAGTTATAAAAAATGTTATTATAAGAAATATTTTGGTATAAGAACAATATCCTTTCTTACGTTCATTATTAATAAGGGTAGAATCAAAATTATCATACTCGTTACTATCCCTATAATTAATTTCTTGATAACTGGGTGTACCATCTAGCAACATCAATGAACCAGTCAAAAGAGTACCAACATCATCTTCTGTAGTACCTGAAAAATATTATGTTATTATATTTCAAAGGTTAAAAAAACATTCCTACTCTATTGTAAATCACTAATTGAAACTTACTTTTCTTCAAACAATCACCAGAGATGTTTATTATGTCGTCATACATCATATTTGAATTTTTTGCAAAAAATGGACTCATAATATCTGTATTAGGACCACTAGGACCTACAAAAATTAGCAATACAGATTAATAAGTTTTATATTAATACTTTATACAAACAAATTATAAACTGTTATCAGAATTTTAAGTTAACAACTTTTAATTATAAACATCAAAATTGAGAAATCTTGACACATAAAAAAATATTAAAAGAGTATTATAAAAATAAATAGTGAAATTTATGTTTTTTTAAAATTGTGTTTAATTAAAACCACATTTTTAAAACCCACTAGTAAAAAAGTATGTTTTGCATTATCGAATACCAATTTTTGTGTTATGCATAATGTAATAAGCCTGGATGCTTGGTACCTACTATCGTAGTACTGACAGTAGATAAGTGGCAACCAAGTTATTATAATTGCAGGTCGCAGACACTTTATTTGATGTTGTAGTCGTGGTAGATAATGAATGATAAGACAGATGTAATATATTGTGAATGTTTATTATAATGCTCGATAATTTTTCTAAGTCCAAATAATATTCTACAGAGTGGCGTGAAGGTGCTTGCACTAATGGGTGGTAGTACACGTCTGAATACAGGTCGATTCGGGCTCCCTTATATATGAGGTCCCCCGTACCCCTTGCCTACATATACGATATCTCGGTTCTCACGGATGTGATTTGTTGTGGACATTTATCCGGCCTACGCATTTACGGCTGCGTGTATTTCTACATTATGATTATTATAAAATAATCTTTTTTACTCTTTTATATTTTGATTTCGTCGTATTCAGTTTTTTCTGTAAAATATTTCATCCGATTATTTTTTTTTAACCCTGGTGTCTTTTATGTTCCCTCATCTCCCGGTTATGCCGGTCCACCGTATAGTATCATAACTATGCACCTGTGGAATTTGGTTTTATTGTTACTGTCAAATGTTACTACGCCTAATTCTTAATCCCGATTCATCGTATATTATAATAATAACTATATGTACTTATGAAATTGGTATTACTCCGTAGTAACTGGCTTACTACATCTCCCCCTTTAAAAGTTGATTTTTATCGTCTAAAATGAGAAAAATTAACTCAAACATCCCTCCATTAGTTCAAGCACTTTAATGTGGTTACAAGTTACATATATAAATTATTTCATTACATTCAATTATTACATGTTTACATAATATGTTTGTTACAGATATTTAGTTACATTATTGAATTATATGGTACATTACACCATACTTTTCTGGTTATATTTATTAAATGTTATTGACAATTACAGATTACAATCCACAATATTATAGTATATATTTTACTTATTATCTAGGTTAGTATCTTATGTGATTAACAATATATTTTTTTCGTTTTTGTTTTACAACAATAATCTTATCTTAGTGTTAATATAGTATAAATTAATCTTTTAATATAATATGAATTCTTAAAATCTATTACAATATATTTTTTTTTCTCGTGCAATATATATATATGATAAAATAGTGGTGTACTGGTGTGTTATATATTTTTTTTTCATTACCATGTTAATTATATTTTAAATAAATTAGATTAATATATTTCTTTTCCCATCACCATGTTAATTAAGTCCAATATAAGCTAATATGTTCCTTTATGTATTTGTATATTATTCTATAAAAAATTTAATCCTAATTTCCCTTTTTTTTTTTTTTTTTTCACTTTTTTTTTCCCATTTTTTTTTCTTTCTACGCTTACGTTTGTTCCTATATATATATTTTCCATTAATCGTTATATTATTATATTTTATATCTAGTTAATATTACTATTCCTAAACTGTGATTTGATTATATCTTTTTACTACAGGTCCAGACCAAGCAATTAACTATTGTATTTAAGTTCCATTACATGATCGAGACAAGTACTAAATTGATTTTATTCTATTCTATTTTCGTATGTGTTTTTATCTTGCTAATCGAACCCGTGACGTTAGAGTGTGCTGAAAAATCAAAGCACTCTCTTTCGACAGAGGCTAAATTAACAAGACCTTGTCCTTGTAACTTCTTATTGAGTTTTATTGGCCATTTGATCCGTTGGTGTTTCCGTTAAAAAATCCGTTATACACACGATTTTCGAACCAACCACCAAACGATCAAACTCCAACATTTTCCTTAAGTTGTCAAACCGTTCGGTATATAATAGCGCAACATTTATCTATCTCCAACAATAATAGATTAAATATGTCCCTATTATGTACCGCTCGATTTCTAATCGTATTTTTTTTTTCGTTCCTATTCTGAAATTAATTTATTTTAGATTACTATTTTAGCTCTAATTTAATTATTTACTAGTATCTATCGTTACTTCCTGTTCTTTTATTTACTTTAATGTGTTAATTAAGCTATTTGTTAGTTGCCAAAATAAAATAAAAATTCGTTAAAAATTTACATTTCACAACGTCGATCTATGTACGTGGTATTGTTTATAATGGTTGGAATTGCTTTACTAAATTTTGATACCCATATTCCCTAACCATTTTGTTGAATATACACTTTGTAAATCTTACATCGGTTTTTGGATCGTGAGCATACGTTATTTTGTGTTTATGTGTACATATGCCGCTATGTGCTTCCGTTAAATTTAATAGCCTACCATTCTTTTGGATTTTACCTACACTAAATTCGAAAATTCTTTCTGTTATCTTTCCCTTTAATTTTTCCAATATCATGTAAAATTCCCCATCGAAATTTAAATCATAGCATCTAATATTTAGTATTTGTATATCTCCTAACCCTAATCTATTTAGGATATTCCTATCGTATGATCCCCCAAACAATACCACTACATTTATCTTATTTCCATGCAAAATATAATTTCCTATGAATTCTGGTGTTAAGTTATTTAATTGAGAATTCAGACTTTTACTAAGTTGCGCTAAACAGGTCGTCTCCACTTCCTTCTTGTTGTGAAAAATCCGCCTTATTGATTTCTCTGCCAACTGTGTTTCACGAACAGTCATAACTCTTACCTGTTCATGAAGTGGCAAGAGAAGCGGTTTCCCCTCGAGCTTACGAATCTTACATTTGTTCAGGCTGTTCGAAATCGCCCCTGATATTAGCACAATATCAGTTTTCCTCATATTGGTGAATTCAAAATCCATGACAACGAACTTGACTTCCCTTCTAATTCACAGTCGTTAATACATTTATTATTATTAATAATATTAATACGTGTTCTATTTCTAATTACTATTTCTAACTACTTATGTAAATATTTTTTTTTTTTTTTCTATATTTTCTACTTAATTAATTATACTTATAGTATACTCTAAATAATAAAATAATCCTATATAGTTTATTTTATTTGGGGTGGTACATCCTCCCCTTCAAGTGGATTTCGTTCGTTTACCCTTTTTAATTTTTGTTCAACTTGGTTATTATCCGCGCAGGGTTTCCTTTTACCTACTCGTACCATTTCATATTGTGGTCGCCTCAACGAAGTGAGCCTGCATTTATACGTTATATATATAAAAATGATTAGCATTATTGAGAATACTATCAAGCCCAATGTTAAATAAAATAAATAATTACGCGTATCACTCGCTTCTAGCTGTCCTGATTGTGTTAATATTTCATTATCAATTTGTTGTTGAACATGGTCTAATGATTGTGCTATTTCGTGTATTTTTTCGAGTTTATGTGAATCTGGTTTAATTATTACTTTAGGCAAGTTCATACTTTTTATTCTATCGGATACCTTAAATGATATTTTTCCCTGTCCTACTTCGGGTATAAAGTTAGCATAGTGTTTCGACTTTATTTCTTGTGTTGGATTTAATATAATATCGTTACCGTACGCTCTACATTTTGAACTTAACCAAATTAATCCTTGTTTTCGTATTTTCGTAATGTATGGTTCCGCATTTTCCCTACACGCGATAGTTAATGTTTCTCCCTTTGTTGTATATATCCAAGTGTTCGCATGTTTTAATTTGTAGAATATGTCTTTCGATAATACTAATACTCC